CGAACGGCAACGCGACAATATTGCTCGGGCATAAACACCAGAGGGTTATTGTCGATCTTTCAATGACTGTCGTGGGTTATTGGCCCCCCAAACGCCGCCCTGGAGGTCGATTTTAAATCACCGTAAACAATGCAAATGGCGACAGGTCGGTTCCTGGATTTTGGATTTGAATAACATGAAGAGATATAATAAATATTCAGGAAGAATTAATCAAAGTGTCAGTATTAAATAATTATAGGTGGATATTTTTAACTTAAATACTAACTAGAAGACAGATCAGATTCAATGTACAGTGGATTTCATATTCATATTTGGTTAAAACACAAGGTACATGTATATTTTCATGTGTAAATTTAATGAGAGTGACACACTGATTACCATTCAAATGATTACAAAGTTTATTGTAAAAAGCACAATTACATTTTTCCAAATAATCTCTTTTTGAAGCCTTTAGGCATATTGAAATCTCACGCATAAATTCGTACGAGTATTTGCCTGTTTTTATAAGTTCCGGCTGCAATTAAACCGATGGAGAACTGAGGTAATTCAGAAGTAGAATTGCTTAAAAATGTGCCGTCATAAGGATAAGGGTTGTGTTTGTAACTGAAAAACTATCCTTTTTTTCATCCTTGCCTTTCCCATTTTCTACGGGGTCGGCGCTAATGGCGGACGGCTCATTTTTATTAATTTTAGCACACACTTTTTGAACTGCTTTGGCAACGATTTTACTGCCGAATGCCCGTCTTGTCGCTCACCCGAAGGACACACAAGCATATTACGCACACTCAACACACACACAATCACGAAACTCACCCAATCATTCTCAAGGCGGAATTCAAACCACGACCCTTCGGTCCTAGATCGCCACGGCACACGGCTACACAGATCGGCAGAAACTATCCTTTTATTGATATAATTAACGTTTTAATGTATTCATGATCATTCTAATATCAGGAATATATGCGTAGAGAAACTGTTTCAGATTCATCCAGGCAAGCACTATACTTTAGGCAGTTATTGAGCTTAACCCAAAGTTCCTTGAGTGTATTTTGCTAGTGTCTACTTATTCTTCGCCTTTCAATGTGTAGTCGAGTGAGGCGGCAGCGGCGGCGAGGGGGGGAAAGCAGGAGGTGAAGAACGAGGCAAGGGAGGGGCGCGGAGGCGAGGCGCGGGGCGGG